TATACAAATGCTATTTATTATTATTATTATTATTATTATTATTATTATTATTATTAAGTGTCCGACTTATCACTACTTCAGAATTACAAAGTTCTATCTCAGATTTTTTGTGGGTGGTTGGCGGGTGCTCTGGTGTGGTTTGCTCCTTCTTTCCTATCAAACATTTTAACGTCCTGATCTCTCCTCCTTCTTTTTTGTTTGTTACTCTCTTTTAACACCTCTAATCTTCGGCACTTATATGACCTTATTGCCGTAAAACTCTTACAAAAACTAAACAGAGATTTTTTGGCCAATTTGATGGATGTATTTGAGAGAGCTCGCCAACTTTTTTGGGACAAAATTTTGCCTTCCTTCTCGGATGGATATCGTTTTAATAAGTTTTATACTTTAGTATTTAGAAGTTTCATGGAGGGACTTGTTCTTACGAGAAAGTGATTGTTTTTAGTACATAATGTTGTGTTTGCGTACATATGTATACATACATATAAGTGTATATCTATCTATCTATATATCTCTAGATAGATAGATAGATAGATAGATATGATGGCCTCAGAGATTGCACTCATTTTTGCATTGTTGTAAGTATTGATTTCATCATAAATGATAACTCCATACATTCTTGTGAACGAGAAACTTGAACCATTCGACAATTAATTTACAGATTTTGTTTCATGAGGTTGTTCTCATAAACCCAGATGATTTTGAGAATCTTATAGTTTGTAATTGTTACTGCCCCCGTGAGACATGATGTCCCGATTTTTGCTGTGTATTTTGTACTCATATTTAATAGTAAAATTCTGCGCGTTGTACTGTAGATTGTGATTAATTTCTACTGGTCATGATATGTTTTTGCTTATGACTTATACATTGCCTGGTGGTATATGTTAGTTATGACTTGAAAAGATTAAGACAGGACACACGACACTTTTCTGTAAACGATCAAATGTTAGCGACAGCAGCCTGTTGTTTTATGAAGAATGCTGGCTGTTGCTCTGTTTAGAAAGAAGGATTTACTCATTTTATAAATGAGCTATCAATGTGGATCATCAATTTTTTAATTTCAAAAATTTTTTTTTTTTTACAAAAGTGATGATAACGATCTTGTAAGTAGAAATTCTTCTGTCATTTCAAAATGATGGCTTTTGTTGTCGTTGCGGTTGTACGTCGTTGCGGTTGTAATCTCAAAATCTGTGAGTTGATTCTCTTTGGCCACTTGTCATGAGGTAGTTCTTATTTTATGGACCCTCTCCCCCAAGCTAGGGCAAATTACCTAGTTCATTACGCACGTCACAAACCATAATTTTTATCCAGACCCTTGCAGATGTATCAGTTTAGCTCAGATTACTGTTATAGTTTTTGGCTTTTTTCTAAAATAGAAAACTAAGACAGTTTTGATTTAAATTTCACCACCACACCTAATTTTGAGACTTTTTTATTTTCAAATCCAGCGATCTGTGTAAGGATTTATTTTGACCTCATTTCCTCCTGGCCTTTGTCGTGGAAGCGTTTGTACCAAGCAGCTGACTGGTCTGTTGACATTTTCTGTTGTTGGCCCTGACAGGCAGGGTCGAAGTGACTCGAAGCCCACCTCCTAAATAATCTACATTGTGTCGAAGCATTTCAAGAAAATACCTACGTCTTAACCCTATCCGTACGCCTTGGGGTCATTTTGTACCCCCGGGGTTGAATTCTTCACATTTTAGAATACTTCTAGTACGAAGGTCTCTTTGAAACTTTCAGTATTTCTCAAAAAATCATTTTGACAGACTGCTATGCAAAGCGTACGGATCGGATTAACGAGTAAATTTCCTCTTTGGAAGGATACGATAGTAAGACAGGACGTACGGATAGGGTTAAGTGGTGGCACAGAGTTCCCCACGTCGTATGGATACGATAGTAAGACAGGACGTACGGATAGGGTTAAGTGGTGGCACAGAGTTCCCCATGTCATATGGATATGATAGTAAGACAGGACGTACGGATAG